TATTTTAGCAAGTTGAAGGAAGTTTGTAAGAAATTCAAGTTTCAAGAAGTTTTCCCCTTTAACTGCTCAGGTGGCGAGTATAATTGAACAGGTGATTAAAAATTAGTGTCAAAATGGAGTTGGCCTATCCCTTATCCTTATCTGGTGGTCTAAGAATATTCGACCATCAAGAGTTTAGTTCCCTAAGTCCCCTGATCAATCCAATTAAATCACCTCCCTGAATGTAAGCATGAACTCAAAGGCAATAGTCCTATTCGAAAGAGTTCATGTAGTTAATATTTTTCATTCCACTATTTATACAAAATTTAAGAGCACGTCTAATGGAGCGTTTAACCTGCGGCCTCCCGCGTCTCGTCTTGTGCCTTTTCTGCATCCCGCTCGATTGAGCGGCCATTTAGGAATGGTGGCATTGCTGCTAATCCCTTTCCTCTCATTTCTTTTCTGTGATTTCCTTATGGGAGCTTTCCTTTTCTATTTTTCCTCTGTGAATGTCTTTAAATTGCTGTTTTCTGGATGTAGGGTTTAGTTTTTTGCTGTGAGCTGATTTTTGATTGATTTGTGGAGTTTTTTTCCCCTTTGTGGACTGTATCCGAGGAGGTGGTAGTGATCTAGCTGTATCCTACTCCGAGGTTGTGATTGTGTCTCCCTTTTTATCTTCCCCCCTTCTTCTCCACTTCCCTTAGCCGTCAGCCACCCCCAACAACTTCCCCCTGTACTGCCGGTCCTCTTTATGCTACAACAACCTGCTGTCCAGCTCTTGTAGGCCCCTTCTGACAGCCCTCCGGCTCCCCTACAGAAGCTACCTTGTTGTTCTGACCTTCCCAGCTGGTGTCCCATCTTCCTAGCTTGCTACCCGACCTTCCAACTTACCTCCTAGCTGCCCAACAAACCTTCCTACCAACTTAATCTGCTTCCTCTCTCCTCCAGCCCACCTTCCAACCCCAGTTAGCCTTCTACCACATTCACCCTTGCTGGCCCAAGCCTTCGTATCCACCGGGCCAACCTCCACCGCCCTTGGGATACACTTTCAATGTGTTTGATTGTGTCGTCCTTTGTTTTGGTGATGTTATTTCCAGTTTTTGTGGTTTGGATTTTTTTCTTCCGGTATCATAGTGACAATGCTTTGTCAAAATGATTGAGCATATCTCATTATTTTGTTTTAGTAAATTTATTTATTTATTTTCAAAATCAAGCTATAATTATTGTTCAAACGAAATTTTCAAAACGTTATTAAAACTTCCCAAGGTTATGCCTCTAATTTACTGGAGGAATATAATTTAAAACCTTACTGTAATCATATTTTGGTTAACTTACATTATAAGCTGCCCATCTTCATATAAATTGCATCATTTAAATTTTTTAATTTATCATATTATTTGTCTTTTTTTTTTGTTGGCATAAAGATACAACCATAAGCTCTGAATTCTGTTTGATGCATGGCGATTTAAGTTTTTAAATGCAACTATATGATGTAAGTGATCACACAGGAGTGCTTGGGATTTACAAGTTACAAGGCTGCTAAATATATGAAAAACCTTCAGAAAATATACAAATTAAACCCCAAAATGTAATGCAGTGATTGAGTAAATTCGAACAAATTAATAAGAAGTTATAAACACACAAAATTAACAAGAGATTTCAAATTTCTCACCACAATTGGAATCTGAGTTCTATGCAATTTGAATATAAATAAGAGCACAACAAGACCATAAAAAAATATTTAGAATATATACTTTCATCAAAGTGAAAATTCCATACCTCATGCTTGCACAAGGAGATGACGTTCCACAGAATAAATTAGTCACACTTACTTGCATTTGGAGTAATCACAAATCGGACATGCACATGAAATTGAAATTGGAGTAAGAAATTTTATTGAATTAGAAATTTTATTGAATTCATGACTTTTCCATCACATGTTTTTAGCTATTTATTTATGAACTTCTCATAACCTAGGTAGTAGATAGGATTGGCACAAAATTAGCCCAATTCAGATTCAATCTTTCTGAGCCCATTTCTCACGGCAACAAAAACTTTGAAACATCTACGAAGTATAGCCCCGTTGAAAGAAGAAGCCCAATGATACTCTCATGTAGAGGTTTAGAGCGATAGTAAATAGTGATAAACAGGTCACAAATAGTGGCTGCAACATTTGGGTAATGATTTGAGTGTTTCCTTAATTTATTATAATAAATGACTTTAGGCGATGAAATACCTGCTGTTGACCTTATTGCAGGCTTTTTTTATAGCCAGGAAGATTTCGAGGTTATGATCTATTATTGAAAGCTTCCAAATTGTACTAGGAGCCTACGAAGCATGGGCATGATATGGGCACATGAATGAGGGTGATTATTAAAGCACCAAGAATTATGGGCACATGACTCCATGTAGTTGCATCTCTAGAAATAATTCCATGGAAAGATAAACAAGAGCATGGTGGTGCAAATATTCATGAACATAAATTACATACATGTGCTCCTTTATTAAACAAGTATCAAGTAGAGACAATATTGTTAATGAGCTATATATACCAGCTAATGTGGTATATATATGAAATTTAATAGGAGAATGATCTTTGACAAAGAAGCGAAAAATAGAACGAGAAAATTCACACCAGAAAATAGGAACACGGTGGAACACACAGATTTATGTGGTTCTACAAATTGCCCACGTTCACGGAGTTGCAGAGGATTTTACTACTTGAGGAATTTACACTAGTCGATCGTTTCGACTTACAAGAGGAATCTCTCACTTCGTTGCTCTCTCTTCTTCTCTCTACATCGAGATACACCGAAGAAGACAAACTTAAACAAATTCCTCTTCTGCCACAAGCCACCAAGAAGAAACCAATGGAGAACAATTTTCTTCTTCTTCTTTCTTCTTCCTTCTGCCAAACACGCATATACTGCCCGCACTTTCCTTCCTCTATCCCGAGGAAGCCTGAAGAAGAACATAAAAAATCGTGACTTAGAAACTGAAGGAGAACTATGCTCTTAATTTTCTTCCTCTTCTGTTTGCAACTTAAAAGAGACGAGGGGCGGCGTTGTTTCGCGATCCTGGAGGCGGGAGCAGCGGTTTTCGCAAAACAGCGGTTTTCACAAAACAGTGAAGAATCGCGACTTTTTCCTATCTTAGCGGGAGCTCCATACTTAACAAATCTCCCACTTGGAAACCGATCCACTGACTACAACGTCTTCTTCCTCAAACTGATATCCTCTACTAGCGGCATCTCCTTTTTCTTCAAACATGAATCCTCCGCCTCTGCAACTCAAAGCCTCTGTCTTCACTCCAAAAGACCAACTGAAGCTGTGCACAACTGTATTTTTATCATAAACGTTTCTCAAGAGTAATACCCTTAGTCAACATATTAACAGAGTTTACATAATCTTGCACCTCCAAGTTATTTCCTAGGTTACTCTTGTCTCTGCTTACAATTCTCGATTACTCTTATCTCTGCTTACAACTCCCACTGCATGGGTAATATCCTGCCTCTGCTGAAAGACTTTTTCAACAAGTCTAGCCTTGTACCTCTTAGTGCAATCAAACTCAGTCTTCACCTGGTACACCCATTTGTTGTGTAATGCCTACTTCCCTGGTGGAAGTTCTGCTAGCTCCCACTTGCTCAAACTTTCATCTTGTAAGATTTTTTCATTGCTCTGTGGTTAGGAATGAGTGTCCCAGACCCACTCTCCTCTTCACTTCCATCATTAACAAAATTATGAACTGTCATGCACTTCTTCAGATGCCACATTTGCGTTATCATTTTCCATATTCTTGGGATTCTTGCAGTTCCTTTTCATGTGGACAGCCTTGCCACAATTTCAGCAGGTTGTCTGCTGACCAGACTTTGATTTTGATCTCCCACTATGTGATTTCCTGTCCTTCATCTCCCTCTGAAATCAACATTTAGTGTCGAACTCGTACCTGAGATCTCGCCTTTCTTGCGCACCTCCTCAGCCAAAATCAAATCATGAATATCATCACATTTCAGTTTAGATTTACCTGCAAAATTGCTAACTACCATTCTCATTGCTTCCCACTATTTGACAACGATGCCAACAATATCAGTGCATGTATCTCATCATCAAAATCAATTTCAACAGACGACATTTGATTGGTGATAATATTGAAATCATTCAGGTGTTGAGCAACAGAAACACCTTCCGCCATCTTCATATTGAATAACTTCTTCATCAAATACACATTGCTCTCTTCTTCTTCTCTCTCTACATCTAGATACACCGAAGAAGACAAACTTACAAGAGAAATACAAGAGAAATAAATAAATAAATTCAATTTCTCTTCTGCCACAAACCACCAAGAAGAAACCAAGGGAGAATAATCTTCTTCATCTTTCATCTTCCTTCTTCCTTCTGCCAAGCACGCACACATTATTCGCACTTTCCTTTCTCTATCCCGAGGGAGTCCGAAGAAGAACACCAAAAACCGTGACTTAGAAACTGAAGGAGAACGGTGCTCTTAATGAGCAGCGGTTTTTGCGAAACAGTGAAGAATCACGATTTTTCGCGATCTCAGCAGGAGGCGGGAGTGGTTCCTATCGGGCTCCATACTTAACAAATATATAATTAATAGTCCTAGAGGATGTACAATATATTGCATATCTCTCATTTTACTATATGTAATGAATATTTATGACCCATTCTTAATTGTTTCTGATGGGCTTTATTTTTTTCACATAATTGATCAATGATCAAGCTAAATTTTGTTTTGTAGCTTTTAATTGCTAAACCATTTAACATTTTGTTTATTTATTTGAAGTTGCTATTTTAATTATAAAATTGTTTAAAAGTATTTTAGTTTTGAAAATGCTTAACGATTATTTAGCTAATAAATGTTGCCCTGCATTGTGTCATTTTTTGTTACGTGATGGTAAATACTTTATTCTTCCCTGTGGTGTCTTCTCTCTTCAATAAATTCTTGTTTTCATATTCTTTTGAATATACTTTTTAGAAAATAATGCGACCTTAAGGAAATTATAGGTAATTGCTTCTGGCTCGCTGCCCACCTTGCCTGGGAGAAGCAGTGTGAATACGCCTTTTCCTTTGGTTTTTGATGGCGAATCGAACTTTAAACACGGAAATATTAATGCGTATGCTCCTTTAACTCATTATCTTTTTCTTTCTTTTACTCTTTATTAAAGTGTTCCATGAAGTTGATTTATTTACTAGGCTTCCTATTTAACACTCTTGCAGTGCCCATTGGCAAGTGCAGTTTTTTTCCATTCTATTGTCAGGTTTTGGCCATGCATCTTAAAAAGTAGCCCTGGCTACTTACATTGAAGAAGATTGTTTTTTGAATTTAATGTTTTCAATCCTCAAAATTTTAAAGATCTTTTTAACCTTTTGTTGCAGGACTTCTGATGATGCAGATTCTGATGATTCTATTTTGTGGGTTGAGTCTGCATTCGAGTTGGAACTATCACAATCTTCAGAAGTTTCTTCACATGAATATAATGATGAAAGTATAGCTGAAAATTTCTATGATTTGCCTGATAATATATGCAAACCATCGAAATCTATGTTTTCAAACTTAACGGCAGATCATGCTAAAAACAGCATATTACGAACTTATGCTAAAATCAATTGGCCATCTTTACATCCCTCTTCTTTCCTTAGTTCTACTGAAGACTTAGATAATATCGCTTGTTCTCACCTTCAACATGAAAAGAGGAAAACAAATCAGATTTCTGCTTCCCCCAACTGTGATGCTATTATGGATCTTAGAATATTTAATGACAGAACTGAAGTATGTCAGTCTGGTGGGTGTTGGCCCCTAGGTGGGCTCCTGAGCAATCCATTCTGTGCCTATATGAATTGCCCCGGTCCACAGCAGCTCCATTTGACAGAATACTGCTTTGAAAATGATGATGGGGGTACAGATAAGTGTACTTTTGATGAAACATTTTTATCCAAAGCATCTGGCCGTTTCATGCTTAGTTCTGATGGATTAAGGGAAATGCAAACTTCAACTGGGACATTTGGATCTCTATCTTCTTTCTCTTCAAGTTTTAGTTGGCCCTACGCTTTTAACATGAACCCTATGTTAACCAAAACTCTTTGGCTTCCTACAGCGGGAAACTCAAAGGACACAAGTTTTATCAACAAGCACTCATCATATTTTCCAAATTACGACTTTTCTTCAGTTACAGACCCTTTTAAGCTTCATTCAGAAAGATCGTCTTTACGTTCTGGTGATAGATCTAAGGCCGAAGCTTCTTTGCCTGCGCAACTGGGCGGTTCTGCTAGAGGAGCGAAGTACTCCGGCAGTGCTATTAAAGCAACAGTAGAAAATCAACCAATCTCAGTTTTTTTATGCCCAGCAGGAGAAACAAAGTTACAAAGAGCTGTCCAACCGCCTGATGCTTCTGGTGGAGCAGATTGGGCAAAAACATTAAAATACCCAATTAAAAATGCCACCTATAGTGATGGTGATATTCATTCGGAACAAAAGTTTTTGATACCGTTGGATATAATAATTGACAGATGTATTCTACTAGAAATATTACTTCAGTATCCTTGAAGTTAGGTTTTAATTTCAACGGGCTTTTCTGTGAATCTTATTTTGTGCTTGTTGGTGGCTGTTGTTTTGCTAAAGCTGAATTTCATTGTATATGCACCGTTCATTTTCTTTTAGCCAGTCAATATATCTATGGCTGAGATGAATGGAATGAATGCAATGAAAACAATAACAGAAACTTTATACCCGAAACTCACCAAAATAGGGCTGAACTGGACCAATCCATTTGATGCTTCAGATAGTGGTCTATGGCTAGGGTGTAAAAAGCTTTTAGGGTAACTTCTTTAGCAGATCTGAGGACTAGTTCATATTCATGGAAGCTTGAGTTCCATTAAGATTTGAATTGCAGGCTTGTTACTGGCTGTGTGGGAGGGAAAACTTTATAAAATGCAACTTAATAAGCTATTCACTTTAATACATGTTTCTGTTTGCTCAATGCCATCTTCTTTCCTCTCCTTAAGCTTTGATTCACCTTTACGACATTCATTACTTGAAGATATGAGTATGTAAGCTTCTTTACTGTTAAGTTTCTTGAGGAAGGCTTTAATCTTCGAGAACACTTGTTGGCACTGCGGCGCTATCATTTTATGGAAGTATCTGACTGGGCTGATTTGTTTGTGATGTCTCTAAGTTGCCAGGTATTTTATTAATCTCTTGAATAAACTACCTTCACCCTTTGGACAATTCTATATATCGACTGATTCACATTTTGGGTTCTAAATTTGATCGAGTTCCATCTTTATGCAAGAAATGGTCGGCCCTTCAGTGTGAACAGGAAGCATCAAAGATACAGGGACTTTTAGATTTGGCTTTGCAGAGGTCTTCGTGTGAGAGCGATCTTTATAAAGAAAGATTGTTCGTTCACATTAAAGGACAGAGTGCATATCAGCCAGTTTTTACAAAAGGTATGGGCTGCACATGCGAAAACGCTTTGTTTGTAAATTTTTTTTGTAGCTATTTGCTCCAGTTTGTTATTTTGTCTTTCAATTGGCAGGAATTCAAGCTTTTGATTTTGTGGTGTTGGGTTACCGAGTGGGCTGGCCTGTAAATATTGTTTTAACTCAAGATGCTTTACAAATATATGCCGATGTCTTCAGTTATCTTATACAAATCAGGCTTGCTGTTTGGTCGTTAATTGATGTATGGCATTTTTTGAAGGTATTGATAAACCATTTTTACTTTTAACAAATGGTAGCAAATGCATGAGTAAGGGTGTAACCCATTTCATAAAGCTTTTGTTAATTTAGTTTTGAAGATGGGCTAATTTATTCTTACTCTTGCATTACGTAGAGGCTATTTTTGTGGTTCAAAACTATGACCTCCAAGTTATAACAACTTATTCTTTACTTGAGGCCTTGACCTCTTAAAATTTACCATTGAGAATACTTGTGTCAAGATCTTGAACAATTTTTTAGAAAATCTCTTGAGCAACTTTCATCAATTAATTATAATTTTAGAAATCACTCGAATTACAGTCCACCAGTATTCGAGTTCAATCGCTCCACTATTTCCAAGAGGGGTGGTTCCATGCATGTTCAAGTCAAGGAGATCTTGATTCTATAGATTATGATCATTTATTTCCATGTGAAGGAGAATAAAATTTTTTAATTATTTCCCAGGATTTGTTTTCAGAAACTTTTTGTTTACAAAATTTCTTTTTCGGTATTTCCTGAAGAATTAGTTAGTGTCCTTTTTTTCCCCCTCTAGTTGTTTCTATTTTAGAGCTATTAATTGGGTTATGCATCTCCTGAAAATTTGTACATTTTTTCATCAAAAAAATGTGAAAAAGAATTGCTTTTCTTCTCTGCATTATAAAATATTTTAACCATGCTTATGCTTTAATTGCTGGTTTCTAAGAAAAACGCGTTACTGTTATCCTGACTATTATTGGTAAGCTGTGTTTCGTTTTGACTCTATCATTTGCTTGTAGAGGATCATGCTTGAAAAATGGACCTCACAGTTTGCCTTATTGACAATGTGAACCTTTTATGGTAAAAGAATTTAATGATTTTATGCAAATGCCATAACAAATATTTTGGTAGGACTTATGATTGAATTAACATTTCTAAGTGAAGAAAAACTATGGGAGGGAATTCTCATTATCAATCTTAACTATGGGAAGAAAAACTAATAAGGCTACATATATAAGGAAACCGACCCCTTCGCTTTACATTCTTATCAAATATATCCAATCTAAACATGAAAAGGAAAGAATTCTGAAATAAAAATAAATAGGAAGATAATAAAAACTAATGATGGTGATAGTTGAGTTAACCTAAAATCACAACAATAATTAAAATAGTACTGCTGAAGTTCAAATAGGTTACAACAGCAATTATTCAAAATAGGAAATAGCCGATAAAAAACATAAAAAAAACATTTTAGGGCGACGGTGAAGGGGATTGGTGGCGGTTGGTCAACAAGTAAAGCTGCTGGTGGGAGGCATTGGTGGCCGCCATTTGGTTGGAAGGTAGTTCTGATAGTATGTGGAAGACTGGGGAAAGGTGGCGGGGGGATGTTGCTGACCTCATTTTCAGTGAGGTCTTAGTTTTCTCCTCGTAGAACCTAGGATCTAGCTTTAGGAGTTTTTTATTGACCATCCTAGTGTATTAGTGACGGAGCCCACCTCACATAGAACTTCAAACCACTTCTTGATTCATATTTGTGAAGACCTCGCATGAGTGGTCCCAAGCACTCAACTTTTAGTTGCAAGGGTTAATGACCAACATGTGGAGGGCTAATTACCTCAGTTCACACAATTTATAATTTCAAATTTTGAATTTCAAAATTACCCGCCCAACCTGGAGTTTATGAGCTTCTAATTAAGCCTGGAGCACTCAGGGAAACTAATGAATCAGCCACCCAGTCTCTTGTAACGCCTACTTTGAAGATTCGGGCATACAAAGAAGGGGCTCGCCTCTCTTCTCTCCGGATGCACGACTCGCCTCCTCCCCTTTGCGCCGAAGACCCCCGCTCGCTTCTCTTCCTCGCTCGACTGAACAGCTGTTTGGTTCGCCTCCGCTTCCTCTTCCTTGCCCGAGCGAACAACCGTTCAACTCACCTGCTCGCTTCCCTGGACCAAAGATCACTCATTCCCACTCTGCCTCTCTTTCTTGGCATCAAAAACTCCTCCTTCGGCTTGATCTTGTCTCTGCACCGAAAGCATTCGCCTCTTCCTCCTCTCGCTCGACTCCTGCCTTCTGCACCGAAGTCCCCCGCTCGGCTCCTCTCCCCGGCACCGAAGCCGCTCACCTCTCCTCTCTGCCACCTCTCCCTCTCTCCCTCTCTCCCTCTCTCCCTCTCTCCCGATCCTTCTTCACAGAGAAGCACCGCATTCGCCTTCTTCATCTCTCCCACTCGAGAAAGCATTCGCCTCTTCCTCCTCTCGCTCGACTCCTGCCTTCTGCACCGAAGTCCCCCGCTCGGCTCCTCTCCCCGGCACCGAAGCCGCTCACCTCTCCTCTCTGCCACTGAAGCCCGTCGCTCTCCCTCTCTCCCTCTCTCCCTCTCTCCCTCTCTCCCGATCCTTCTTCACAGAGAAGCACCGCATTCGCCTTCTTCATCTCTCCCACTCGAGACCCTCGCCTTCCTTTAAAGCTCACCCAGAAACCTTTGACCCCTCTAGTTCACTTATTCTCTGCGCCGAAGACCCCCGCTCACTTCTCTTCCTCGCTCGGCTGAACATCTGTTCGGTTCGCCTCCGCCTCCTCTCTTCCTCGCCCGACCGAGCAGCCGTTCGGCTGACCTGCTCCCTCTCTCGCGACCTCTCTATCCCGCCTTAATTAAATATAATTTGGAGTAATGTTTCTCCAAGTAAGTCGGGTGAATGAAAGGAAACCATTTAATTCCCTGCGTAGCCGTTATCTCGAGATTTCCCGACATACAAGAATTGCGGCTCCCTTCTCCACCAAGTGGTGTTCATTCGCCCGCCCCCCTTCTCTCTCTCGCTTCTTCTCCTCGCCACCGAGACCTCGCTCTGCTCTCCGACATTAGTCCCGCTCGAGACCCTCTCCCGCACAGCTCGTCTCTCATCTCTGCATCGGAGTCCGCTCGACTCTCTTCCTTGCTTGCCTGCTTCCCCTTCTTGATCTCCTCCACCGAAATCCTCACTGAAGCCCTCACTCGATGCCACCTCTGCACCGAGACCACTCGATTCATCCCCTTCCTCTCGACAGAAGCTCTGTGTTAAAAACCCGCTCAGCTTCTCCCTCTCGATCGAAACTCCAAGTGTTCGCCTCCAGTATCCCAGTCGAAAACGCCTTCTCCCACTCCCTTCTGCTCTCCTCTCGATACCGCGAACCCTTGCTCGCCTCTCCCGCTCTACACCTTCTCACACTTGACACCTTCTCCCCCTGCACCGTAACACGCCTCTTTTTCATTGCGACCAGAGGCCCTCCTCAACTTCTCTCTGCGATCGAAACCCTCACCTGCTACCCTCTCTCGCGCGACCAGGAGACCCACTCACCGCAGCCTCTCTGCGTTGAATTCCCCGCTCTCGCCAGAATTCCTTCGCTTTCCTTCTTCCGTTCGAAAGTCTCTGTCCAACGTCCGCCACACTCCCGCACGCAGGTTTACACTCCCCTATCTTGCCTTCTATTTCGATTGTTACTTACTGTTCACCACAGACCGTGCATCTAAGCATTTGGTTCCAACAAATCTTGAAACCTGCTTGTATTTTTTATGATGTCTTTCTCTGTTTTTTTAATACCTGAACAATTTGCTTGTCTTAGATAATATTGTAATTTTTTTTTTGTTTTCTGCTGAAAAAAATTTGTATGGTTAAAATAAATTATGCCTCCACACCTTAAATTGTTTGTTATTATTGCCCAAAATTAATTGTGCCTTGCATTGGATGAAGTCTATTTCAATTTGATTATGTTGTATTGTTTAGACAATGTCAAGTTATGAAACTCTTCTGTTTAGGCTTTTTTTTTACAATTGTGTGGTTGGCGTGCATATATTTCTTCTCATGCTTCATAGCTCCTAGCATTTTATTTTTGATCAATTTACTGGTTAGGATAATTCAATATCTGTGAACATGTTATTTTTGATGAATTCATACTTCAATTTTTGTTTGACACCTGGAAGTGAGCATTAATGCATTTAACTTGTGATGGTAAAGCTGATGTGAAGAGACTTCTCTGATGTGGTTGGGCTTACTGGTTTCCATTATCAATTTGCTAGAGTTAGCATATTTATTCTCTTCAATTCTATGGTTCATTCTTTTTGTTATACTTGAATATCACCATTCCATAAAAAGAATAAAAAGAAAAAAAAAAGTTCTATATATTTCATTCAAAAGTTTAGGGGAATTTACATTCACAAAGGCATTGTTTTATGACTGTTTTGAACACGATTTTGGAACTGTTTTGGCTCTTCATTTTTATTGTTTTAGAGATTTGAAATTGCTTTTCGGGACATTTAAAATGGTTGTTTGGGGGCTTTAAACGTGTTGTTGTGGGCTGCACTTTTTGGGTCAGTTTGGCCACTTGTGAACTACACTTTTTGTGCCAGTTTGGCGGCTTGTGGGCTGCACTTTTTGGGCCTGTTTGGCGGCTTGTGTGCTGCACTTTTTGGGTCTGTTTGGAGGCTTGTGTGTCGCACTTTTTGGGTCTTTTTGGTGGCTTGAGGGCTGCACTTTTTGGTTCCGTTTTGTGGCTTTTGGACTTCGTTCTTTTTTATGCTGAATTAGAAAACTTTCGGGCCGATCAAAACACTTTCTTGGAAGAGATTGAAACACTCTTTTCGGGGGTCAATTTAATTACAGTTGAAAGAATTTAAACACTTTTAGGCCGAGTCACTTGATGTTTCTCGCATTTTTGGCTTTGTTAGTTTTGGAGGTGGACCGACATTTTTTTTTCATTTTATTTCTCTTGTAAATGATTAGGTCAAAATTAGAATTTCTGATTTAATTATTTGAAACACCTAAAAGATATTTGAAAATTATTTGAAAAAACTTAATTAAGAGTAAAACACCTTAAATCACTTCAAGCACAGGTTAAAGTATATGCTTCCTAGATTTTATTATCACACCCTAGGTGATGGTTTATCTATTTAATTTTTTAATGAATGATGATACTAGACACTTACCTTAATTCACAAATTGATTAAAACATTAAACATGAGGTTACACCAAGATGTGGTTCATGACATCCTTA